GAAGAAAGAATGTTCTGAGTTTATGAAGCAAAACACTGCAGAACACAATTTCTTTTAAAGAAAACAATCCAAAGGGCTGCTTTTCCTAAACATGTGTTTATGTTATGGTTAATATAACTGTTTTCTTATCTGTGAGTTATTTTGAATGTATTTCTTAGTTAAAAATGTGAAAAACATCAAATATTTTTATTTTATTTTGATTACAACCAAAACCATGACAACATTTCTATATAGAACTATTAAATACTATGTGTGTGTGAACTTCAAGAATCCAGCATCAGCCGTTACATTGCATGCTCTTATCATCATCTTTTCCCATCAGCACTTTGTTTTCACGTGCATATTATTCTGACAAAGCGTGCTGTTTGGACATGACAGGCTGGCATAGCATGACACTTCTTTTTAAAGGAAATGCATATGTCGTATTGTAACTAAAGGACCTCATTTACTTCATTAAGTGAAACATTGATGTGAGCACCAGGAGGAGATTAAGCATTCAGACACACAGATGGCAGAGACAAGCACATGCCAGCAGACAGACTCCTTGAATCTTCCGAAAGATATCTCTAATATTCCCACAGATAAAGCGGTCAGATCCCCGAGAGGGAATTCTCTGCTGTGATTTAGCTCAGCATGAGCCGGCAGGAGAAGACAATGAACTATGACACAAGTAAACCTGATCGGCTGAGCAAGGCGCTGGAAGAGGATCAACAAGCTTTTAGGAGAAGATAAGAGCACTCACAGCTGTCCTCGTCATCCTGGAAGACTTTGCTCACGTAGCAGGCGTAGACAAAGCCAAAGAGCTGTTAGAGAAGAGAGAGGCTGCAATTAAATGACTGCTGCTGTACAGACTGAGTCACTGCTGACTAAAGTGTGTGTCAAATAAGGGTCAGCAAACAAAAAATACTGTTAAACAATGTTTAGAAAATGTAGTATTTTTACAGGGTAAAATTGGTAAAGCTTCTTAAAAGCATTTTTCAACCAATTTCAAGGTACCTAAACCATTGATGGAACTTTGGTCATCACATCTCAAATGAATACATAAAGGCTATTGCAAAAATAAAAGTCTAGTAGGTTCGATTTAATTGAGTCATCAGGTGCAGGATGCTAGCAACATTTTTTCTTTACATGAGTGATTGTGAGGATGCAAAAATCCAGCATTTCTGTAGGACAGCATTCAAATTCAAGCATTTTCCTATCTTTGGACAAACATAACGTTTTAAATGAAACATTTTGAAAACTTTCAAGACTTTGTATGTGTGTGCGTATGTGTGATACGTACAGCCAATAGGACCTGAAAGGCTGAACTCAACACCTCTATGTATTGGTAGTCGAGGAGACACCCGGACACAGTGATGACATGGTGGTCGTCAGGGGCCATGTTGGAGTCCAGCACGGGCGTCACCAGGCAACCAGGACCATGCTCCATCCACCACGAGCGATGAAGGGATGTATTGAACGTCATGAGAAAGTCCCTGTCCTGAACATGTGCACACACACATACACATATATAAAAACATGGCTACAGATAAGGGTTATGCTCATGGTTGAGTGATTAACTAATATGGATATATTTTAACAGTGTATTTATATTTCTTCTTTACTCTGTTTAATATCATATTAAACTGAATATCTCTGGATCTTTTGTACAAACAAAACACAACTTTTTCAAACATTGAAAGACCTAGGACTTTGAGAAACTGGGATGGAATTTGTTGAGTATTTTCTGATATTTCCAAGTCTTCGAAATGGTATCTCTTGACCATGAAAATAATCTGTAACTAAGTAATAATCTAACTCTAGACAGATGGAATAAAGCAAATATTGCGTTACACAATCAGAACGACTGAACTCACCTGTGACAGGTTTCCAACCTCCAGGTAGAAACAGATAATGAACGAGTTCCAGCCCACCCAAAGGACCAGCCATACTGCATACTGCCAATCAGATACAGGGATCACTTTCTGCACACTCATGCAATATCAATTTAAAGTAAACAATAGCTTTGTGCATCTTTGGAAGGGGGGGGGGGGGAATACTCACAAAGATAAGGTATCTAAAGCGAAACTGCACGGTGCCAAACATGCCCAGGATGACGGCCATAATGTGCAGGAAGTTGGCCAGGATGGGGGCCCATTGATAGCCCATAAAATCAAACACCTGCCTCTGAAGGGCTGCCACCTATGGGACAGTGGGAGGGGTCACGCACACATTAGAAAAAAGACATTACACACACAACCGAGGATATATGCAAATCAAACTCACGGTGAAACACACACACACACACACACACACACACACACACACACACACACACACACACACACACACACACACACACACACACACACACACAGTGACAGGGACACACATACACAGGTCTGCCGCAGTTGTTTCCATGGTAACTGCCTGGAGCACCAGCCAGTCCAGTGACTGTAAAAGAGGAGCAACCCCCTAAAAGCGCCCCCAAACTAATGAGGATCTATGGGCTGAGTGAATCCCCCTGCCTCCCCACAACTCATCAGCACAGCAAACAATAGCCGGGATAACTAGCCCTCACACTGCTGTGCTCCATCATTCTCACTAGAGAAATAGCTGATACCATCTCACATTATTACACACTTATTATGTTTTAGAGGGATAGTCAAGCTATTTGTAGCGACAAGACATAGCTAACTTTAACTCCAGAATGGAGGCCAGATGGTGAACAGGGCCTCCTTGTCCCATCTCAACATTCACATGTTTTTTTTGCCAGAATGGGGCTATCACCCCTCTCTCTACTACAGACATACAAACATGCCCTGACACCAAAGCACCCCCCCCCCACCGTACTTCAAAGACACACACACACCCTCGCCTGTAATGTGGCATGGCACCCCAGCAGCTGCAACTCTAAGCTTTTTTAATGTGACTGTACACACAGGCTGGACAGAAATTTATTACAATGTGCATGTGTTGTGCGTGTGTCTGTAGCACGCTGCTCCAATTATATCATCATGGTGAGTGAGTGATTAGAGAGGCAGCTTTGACAAATAAAACAAACAAAAACACACACACACACACACTCACCAACTGCAGGGAACATATCACCAGCAGCGTGCATCGTCCGTCGCACTTCCCCATCTTGGAGGGCTCGGAACGCGGCATGGAGCCCCGGAGGCTCCGGGGGAAGGACGGGTCGCCGGTCAGATCCAGACTGCCTGGCAGTCTCAGCTCACAACATTCCCGGCTGTATAGACCTGCCTAAGGCCGCCGCCTCCTCCTGTAGCGTCGGTGTGGCCCTTTTCTCACAGCGAGTGACCCATCTTGGCAGCTGTTTTTGTTGTCAGTAAATATGCCAATTACGAGCAGAGGAAGAAGAGGGGGGGGGTCACTTCACACCGGCCTGCTGCGGTCCGACCACCACCGACAACCGAATCACCTCGGCCACACCTTCCGGAGAGGGGACACACAAAGACACAAAGAGAGACGGAAAGCTGTCATAATCTGCCCCGGGATATAGACAGAAATTAGCATCATATGATACCGGATCACACGGGGGGGCGGTGGGGAGGAGGGGACCGACCCCGCGGTGTTACTACACGGCTAGCGTTGGGCTACACGGACACAAAGCAGCCCGTTGTGACTCACGGTTTTCTAGGAGAGGAAGAGTCCTTGTGCCCCCTTTAAACCTCGTCGTCCCGACCTCCGTCTGCTGTAACTGGAACTAGTTACCGGGCGGATCTGTTCACCAGCACCGGGCACCGAGCTCCGTCTCGCAGCGTCTTTTGTCAACAATCGGTGCCGGGGCAGGCGCAGGAGGAGCCGGGGGGAGAGAGAGAGACGAGGGGGTGAGAGAGAGAGACGAGGGGGTGGGGGCTCTCAGTCACCGCGACCCCCTTGAGGAGGAGCTGCATGGATTCTGCAGACCCGCGTGCGTGACTGCGCGTGGCCGAGCAGCAGCCCCGCGAGGCGTTCGGAAAAAAACCGAACACAAAAGAAACGGGGGCTGGTGGCGGTGGTTCAGACAGCCGAAAATAACTGTGATCGCCTCCCACTCCCGCCCAAGCAGAGAGAGCAGCCCGCCGCTCGTCTCCTCGGGCAGCGGTTATTCAGAGCGGAAGAAACATAATTAACAGCCGTGTTTAATCCCAGCTACTTAACATGAGGCGAGCAGTGCGATAGTCTTACTAAGTTAAGATATGAACAGTCAGATAATTACCGCTTAGTCGGTTATCACAAGGCCATATGACAATCAATGGAAAACGAGTTATCACATTTTCGTTTACTTATGCATAAGGCTTTCTCAAATAAAAATGAGTAAGCAGTTAAAACATTTTGTAATTTCTCTGCACCGTAACTACTTCTCATTTTGTTTGAGTTAAATATTGTAACGGTTAATTTCTCCACCTTATGTAGCTCAAAGCACTGTGAACTGCCTGTGTTTATAAGGTGCCAAACAAACTTGTCCTTGCCCCTTTCTAATAGGCTGAAGTGACCCACACATTTAAAGCCCTACTTAGTTGAGTAACCATGTTCATTGTGCAATTAAACAGCTGTCACATGCCAGAAATTATACACAGTGCTAATTAAACTGACCTAATGTATTACAACTAGATAGATATTTTTAAATCTTGTAAATATCAGTTACCTGTAAGAAGTGCACCATATCCTGCTGCTTCATTTCAACTCAAACGTTGTCTTTTACCAAACAACTTATTTATAAGCCCTCAATGTCGAAGTATTTAATTATTACCACTGTCAAGTAATTGTAATATCAGAGCAAAGGCACAATGCTTTCTTTAGAAGTAGAATTGGATGAATTATATTAAATAACATTTTCTATATGTAGCTCTACATTTTTGCTAATGTTGGCCCATGCTTTGAAAACAGCAATCAGGCAAGGATTTGTTTGTATTCTGCCAACAAACAAATAAACCACACACAATTAATAAACTCCTTGGTGGAAAAAAAAAAATGTTACCGCAGGAATGCCCCACAATGACAAATGAATCCCACAAACAGTTTTTACAGAATACTCAAGTTTATTAAAAAGAAACAATTCAGAATAAAAAAAACAAGTCACTGTGGAGGTTGTTTTGACCAATGATCAACTTCAAACACGCGTCCTGAGGTTGTTCTTTGACAAGCTGAAGCACATGAAATTACAGAGACTCCAAACCCACTGTCGGATACCACCCATCCACTTCTTAGGCAGGACACTCACACACACAGACACACACTCATCCAGGTGAACAAACTCCCACACTCCCTACTGAATTTCTCCCATGTAGAGCCTTTTATCACTGGCACCAGACAGCACTGTGAATAGAGACAAAGAGGAAAAAGATGATTCAACTTTTATTGTCAGTTGTGTTCTGAAACTAAGCCTTAGGTGAACAAATACACACATACAAAATATGTGTTGGGTGAAAACCACATTTTAGCTAAACTACAAGAATATTAAAATATTATTCCCTTTAGATCCCCTGACTATCCTCTTAAGACAACTGCACAAAGTCTTTCAACATCTCTATTCCACATTAGGAACTGTGTTTTCTTTTTTTAAATGCATAATCTTTGCTTTGTTTAGAACTAGTGTCCACATATATCTTGCATTTTTGTAACCCTGAAACAGAGACTACGGAAAACGCTGATAAACACGTTTTAGTTTGAAAACTTCAGTACTGCGTTTGATGGGCTGAAGCTGAGACTTTTGAAAATGATGATGCAGAAACTCGCTCGCTGCCGGACTGAACTTATTGGCCACAACGTCTGCTTTCCAGATTCCATAGCTGACATAACATTACGTTTTTCCTGAAGGAAACTAACAACATTACCATCGACTACATGTTGTCAACATGTATTATTAATTACCGGGGCTGTCCACCTTGTTGCTATTCTAGCAGTCGTTGTGAAAGTCTGGATTATGTAGTGCTACTACCGCCTACATGTGCAAGAGGAAATACTATTATTCTAACATGCCCAGTGTAACAAAATGGTCATGTGATTCTAAGTTTTTAGGCATGTTAGTCCGGAAAGAGATTATAAATGAAGCGGTGCTAAAAGAACTCACCTAGATAAATATAGTTTGCATTTGAAAAGGAAAACGTATTATTGTCAATGCATCCTAAAGTAGTGACTGACTCACCTATAGGCTCCTCTGGGTGAAAGGCGACTTCGTTGACGGAGCCGGCATGTCCCGGCAGCTTGTACAGGATTCTGCGTGATGTGGTGTCCCAGATGTACACAAATCTATAAACACAGACAAGAAAAACAGCTGGAATGAGTCCTAACTAAGACAGCTGAGACATTGGACACTGAAGGATTTTCATATTTTTGTTACAATACATCATGTGCTATGTTGTTGTATCAAGTTGTGCTGTTGAAGGTGGATTAAAAGAAGTTGAAAGAGTCAAATTGCATCGAGAACATTACAGCTTGACAGCAATCTAAGATGGATACTAAGCTAGGAAGAGAGACCCAAGTCCAATTGTCCTCAAGTAATTATTATAAGTCTGCACATTTACACTAGTGAGTTTAGTACATGCTAATGTCTTATCTTGAAGTTAGTTTAATATAAGCGCAACCTCTAGAAATACATGTAAATGTACTCAAAAATAATAATAATGACAATTATACAAATGTCTGTGTATGGGAGTTTGTTTGTTTGTGTTGCCTCTCACCTGTCAGCTGAGCCGGCAGCTATCTTACTGCCGTCAGTAGACCAGGAGCACCTCAGCAAATTCTGAAAGACAGGAAGAGATGTTAGAAACAGCATTGTTATAAGAAGGACAAGAGCATCATGTGCTGTTTATTGCAAGTAAAAAAGGGACATATTTCGATGCCTTTTAGGGAAAAATAGATGTTGCTAGGTGGAAAAAAAATATTTGTTATTCAAGTATTTTCCTCAATATCTATACCCCCCAAATGGTATTAACAGTGGAAGAACATGTCAGTACACAGGTCAGAGTTATTGATGTTACCTTCTCAAAGTTGTGAACGTTGCCCTGGAAAATCTTCACACATCTCTCCTTGGGTGCAAATGGTCGAACATCCCAAATACGCACTACACAGAGGAATTAAAGAAAGCAAAATCTGGCCATTGCAATGACACTCTTATAAGCTTAAGAAAATGATGTTGTTATACAAATAAACATCTTACCTGTGTTATCCATGGAGTTTGAGAGAAGGTATGATCCCTCAGAGCTCAGGCTAAGTCCAGTCACTGAGTCACCGTGGCCGTGCATATTGTAGATCAGCTTGTTCTGCCTCAGGTCCCACACCTGCACAACATAGAAACAGCTGATGACGGAGTTCAAGCCAGGGGCAAGTGGAAAAACTAAAACATTTTCTTATAGCACATGCAATTGCAATTCCCAAGTTTTCTGTGTATGCTGTAGGCCAGTACCTTGATGTCATTGTCGATGCCTCCTGAAAGGATCTGATCACTGGTGTCATTGAATGTTGCAGCGAGCACCTGGTAGGTGTTCTGGAAAGTGTGGATTGCCCCTTTCTTACGGATGTCCCACAGCTACAACAGTGACAAACACATGTAGGAAGATTAACTGGAGCCTGATCAAATGGACTGGAGTACTTGAGATAAATTAAAGACCACATAATAAGAATCTATTAATGAGACTTGTGAGAGAGGATATCAAAATGAAATGAAATATCATCCAATTCAACAATTTATTATTATACCTTGACGGTCCCGTCATCACTGCCGGTACAGACGAGTTGGGGCCCTCGACGGGCTGGGTAACAGGTGTTAACGAAGGAGGTGTGGCCCTTCAGGCGCTTGATTCTCTCTCCAGTTTCACTGTCCCACACTCCTACAGTCTTGTCTGTGCTCGCTGAAAACAGCATGCTGAAATACAGAGCAAGAAAACACAGTTTGACACATGTATCCACCTTATTGACCATGAATTAAAATGCATGGGTTTGACACATTTCTTGCCAGTAACCTAAGCCAAGTGATACATTTAACAAATGGAACGTGTGTAATCACGTCCAATTGTTTACAAAAACTAGATTAAATAGTTAATTTAGCTTTGAAGGTGGTTTTGCAAGGTAAGGAGTAAGTTGACTTGTATTGAATTAAATCCCCCCTTGAACTATAGTGTTTATTCTGACAACCGTCATTCAAAAAAGTTTCAAGGGTTGTGTGTTACTTTGTTTTGTGCTTTAGAATATATCTTAGAAATGTACTTAATCTGTGATCGTTCCTACCTGCCATCTGTGTTGTAGTGCAGCTCCATCACTGCTCCACTGTGGCCCTTCATCGTGGCATAATTGTCACAATCTCCGTACACATTCCACATCACTGCAGCAGAGAAACACAGTTTACAACACGTTATTCACAGTAACTGAAATATGTTTGTAAGTTTAACCAAGGAAGTGTGAGCCTCAGGATTTTAAATATCTTACAAATGAGCCTATCAAATCCCGAGGAGGCGAGCGTGGATCCGTTGGGGTGAAACTTGCAGCAGTAGACCTCGCCCTCGTGACCAGACATCAGCATAATGGGAGCCTGCAGGCTGGAGGACCGTGGAGGACCCTATGGGAGATTCATTAAAGGTCAATATATATGATTAATTTAAAATCAGCATTACAGCCCAATAATAAATTAACAGTTGTAAATGTTTTCAGCATAACATGTGTCAACTAATGAGTAACCACACATTTCAGTACAGAAAAAAACAAAGATATATTTGAAGCTATTCAAAAACAGTTTTGTCTTACATAGACTTTCCAGGCCAGTTATGTAACAAAACAAATAGGACATGTGTCATAGGCTTTTGTATTAGTTAATACTATGAATTTTGACCCCAAAGATTCATAATTGGCTGTGCTATGTTGAGCATCAATAGTTTTCCATAATATGTAATTGGTTAAGTTGTACAGTTGATGTTTATTGCAGTGGATTTAAGGTAAACACGAGTTTTAATGGCTTTTGTCTTGAAGCTGTCTAAAGTAGTTTCAACTTAGATAAACATTATAACCTTCACAAATGTAGGATGTAATGGAAGGGTATTGTATTAGACTGCATTCGTTTAAGCAAGATATCGCTAATAAACTGCCTACTCAGTGTGCATTACATTTACTAGAATAATTTCTTTCTAAATGATTATTATAACTAATAATTTGTTGTTCAAATGTTACATTTATGTTTATCACAGTAGAGTGCAAACTGCATTTTAGAGACTTGCCGATTACTTGAAGTCGAAATGTGACCTGGTAACTAATCTGTCATCTAAAAAACAAAATATATTAAAAATAAAGAGATTTTAAGTCTATTTCGGTTTTTTCCATGCCTTGTTTCTGAACATTAAAAACACACAACAGTGATGTTATTTTATTTTCCTGCGTAGGGGTTTAGCTAGCCACATAGTTCCATTTATTCACCTAAAAGCAAATCTTAGTGCACTTAAAATGACATGTAGTTCATAAATGTAGTAATTCATTATGTGTTTCAGTGTTGTTTGCCTCTGATAGATATAAATGAGGACTTTGGTTGTAGTTACTCTACGCACCATGGCCACGAGTTGCTGGGACTGCGCCGCCGCCACCAGCTCCGTCCGGGGTCGCTTCACGGCGGCTGGAACCATCGCCATGTCCGCCGGTCTCTTCTTGGGTTCAATCATCCTGAGACAGTCAACAAGAAAAGGCAAAACCGTTGGAGTTACTGCTAGAGTTTATAAAATATCAATGGACGTCTTTTTCGGAGGGACGTCTAGCGACAACGAAGAAGAACAGGAAACTACTTCCGGTGCATATGATGCATTTGATTGGTGGAGGCCTGTACCGACTGCACTGATTGGTTCACATGGCTTGTTGGTAAACTGACCTGCCCCGGATGTTAATCTGAACCAGTTTTGCTAAGACGTAAGGTAACACTATTTTATTTGTATGTTTTCTGCAAATTTAGAAATACATTGTACACTATCTATGCAATTATCGATTGGAATTTATACATCGCGTACGGACCGATTATCCTATTGTTGGTTCTCTGGATAATCGTGTTAGCTAAAACAATGCTTTAATCTAGCGAGCTAACGTTAGCCTCATTGCTACTTTTCAAGCTAAGCTATTATGTTACAGTAGATGTAAAGTTAAGCATGTGTACTGTAGTCTTTTAATATATCCGAATTGCGTCTGCTTATTTTGTATCCCAATTTAAGAGACTTTAGAAGAAATGTTTTTCTAATGCTAAATAAGAAAGAGGGATATTTGGTAACTACACAACATTGTATATTTAAAATTATAATGTCTTTATATTGATGTGTTAAAAACAAAAATATACTTTTTGTTTAGCCATTTATAAATATTAGCCCACAGGTATGCAATACTTTATAATAAGGTACAGTGTCCCTATTACACAGCTTGATTTACACAACATATCTGATGCCATTATTGTTTATTAGTTTGAAATAATGGAGTAGTTTAAAAGATGCACTGGAATAGTGTCTTATCTATATCAATAAAATGAGTGTTTTCTGTAACTCTTGCTCCAAAAAATACTTGATTTGGATTGTTGTATAGGACTTTATATGGACTAAAACAACCTCATCTTCAAAAGGAACATTCACGCCTATATTTTTGACATCGCAAGTAATTCAATTATTGAACCCTCAATCTTCTAGATCTACTGATTGATCCCTGTTGTCCCCGTCTGCTGAGAACATGTCCGACAGTGATGGCCAGGCACACGAGCCTGCTGGACTGGAGGGTCTGCCACCATTACACAGCATTGCCAAAGGAGAGGTGGTCTCTGTGCAGACATACGGAGCCTTTGTGAGACTGCCAGGCTACAAGAAGGAAGGTGAGTGAAAGTTATAGACTTTTAATATAAACATTTAAAAATCTCAGAAGGGGAAAACTCACATGTACACAGTTGCATTCACAATTGGAAGATAACGTGCATTAAAAAGCTTAAATACCACCAAATACAGAGGAGTGAGTAGCAGACAACAAAAATAAGAATATTAAACCTTTAGGGGAATATTGTAAAGCTTGCAATGGGTGAAAGCAGAACTATAATGAGAAACAAAACTAAGAAACATGATTTGGCAGATACACGATAATAAATCACCTGCATCCGCTGCCAGGCAAAACCACTGCATCATGGGACTTTGGCCAGGGCCAAAACCAATGCAGTTAGCAGAAAGAACACAGGAAGCAATAAGCAGCCATCATTGCAAAGTGTCTGTCAGTGATTGATGGAGCTGTCTCAGCAATAGTTAGCAAAAGAGGCTTCAAGGCACCTAAGCTACATGTTGCTACTAGATTGGGATTTCAACATTATTTCAAAACTCCTCCTCCGATTGCACTATGGCAGTGTTTCTCAAACTTTTTCATACCAAGGACCACTTAACCAATAAAAAAACACTCGCGGACCACATAACTCAACAAATATCAAAAAACACATCGTCTGAAAAAATGTTACAAACAAGTGGCAACATGTGTGATGAAGGTGTTGCTCTGGGCCTTATCCTGCATGCAATCGAAAGTGAAACTTAACCTCGCTCCATTGCGGAGATATTCCCGCGAGAGTGCGGAAAACTGAAATGTATTTATTTCAAATGTGAAATTTTACCAATATACTCACGGACCACTAGGGGGCGCTCACGAACCACACTTTGAAAAGCACTGCACTTTGGATATTCAGTTCTGCTTTGTTTTGTATAAAACAAAGAGGCTGTAAAGTGTCCTGCAATATGTGGATATGTTACATAGAGCAAGCATTATTGTATAATGTCTTATGTTAGCATAGTGACACAGTGGGAACATGAACTTCTTCAGTAAAGGGTTAAAGTGTTTGCCGTTGGTAAGAGTTGCTAAGAAGTTGAACACATTGATGAATCAAGATGTCACAATTGTCCTTGACCTGCATGTCATACTAAATACCTGCTGTTCGTTTCCACCACTGGAGGGCGATATAAGCAATGTTTACTGTGAAAAATCCATCATCCAAACCATTTGTTTTGCATTGCACATACAGGCCTGGTACATGTGAGTGAGATGTCAGCATCGAGGGTTGAGAATGCCTCAGAGATTGTCGATATGGGGGAAAAGATCTGGATTAAAGTCATTGGGAGAGAGGTAAGAAGACACACACAGACACACACACCATTCTGTGTCAGTGAAGTGAGCAGAAAGACTGATAACTTGTGCCCCATCTCCCAGATTCAAGGCGACAAGGTGAAGTTGTCCTTCTCAATGAAAGCTGTCAATCAGGGAACAGGACAGGACTTGGACCCAAACAATGTTAACGGAGAGTAAGTGCTCTTGGTTTTATAATATCTTTGTGTCTCAACATGGGTGCACAGACTTGTAACATTATCTGTTTGTGGTTGCAGCCAAGATCAGAGGCGACGTAGGAAATTCAGAGATCACACAGGCAACAGGATCACACTGGAAGCTGTTCTCAACACAACATGCTCAAAGTGCGGCTGCAAAGGTAACAAACAAAGATACTTCATATGTTTTTTTTCACTTTTCTACCGTGATATTTGCTTGAAATCACTTTTAAATGTGCGTAGTATAAAGGAAATCGTTACCCTTTTCAGGTCACTTCACAAAGGACTGTTTCTCCACTCCGGGCTTGCAGTACGCTCTGGTGCCTGAAGAGGAGGATGCAGCGTCACGGCAACAACCACTGCTGACCCCAGCTGTTGCACCACAGCTAGACTCAGACAAAAAGAAAAAGAAAAAGAAGGTAAAATCCTGACAGTTACTGCCCTGCATCGCTTCCTTTTTCCCCCCGAACTTTCCTTTCATTTTGTATTTCTCGGTTGTGACTCATCTGACACAACATCCCACATGTCTCTGATTGGCAATGCATGACTGTAAGAGATGTAAGACGGCTTCTTGAGAATCGACAAAAATGTTGTCTCTGTGGTGGCTTTTCTGCTGATGTAATGAAAAGTAAATGTTTTATGACTGAGTTTTGAGGAATTGAACCGGCTGTCTCGTTGCTTATAATATCTGCATGGTCGATGCTCAAGATCCTTTTGTTGCCACATAATAGGAGGAAAATAAAACGGCACCCACCCCTTATCCGACTAAGATGAAGCACCTTAGCTACAGATTATCACATTTACTGAAGAAAACATCTTCGAAATGAGATCTGTGCAAAAATCCTTTGATCAGAGACCTTCAAGGCAAGAACAGATATCAAGTGAATGCAGCAGTACAAACATAATTGGATTGGCCCTAATGCAGAACACGTGTCAATCAGTTGAACCTGTTGGGCAAAAAATAAAGGGTCCTCTATAAAGAAAGGTAAAGGAAGACCAAAAACCCATTGAATATACACAATTGGCAATATGTACAACCAGAGAGAATATACAACAATAGAGATACATTCTTTTGTACATTATGCTTCCGATATAACACAAATCTTACATTCTCCTTGTATTTATATCCTCCAGGAGAAGAAAATGAAGAAGAAGAGGAAGAGGGAGAGGAAGGAGTCAGGGAGCGACAGCAGCAACAGCACCAGTGACGAATGCAAATCCAAGAAGAGACGCCACGAGCACGACAAAGAGGACAAGAAGAAGAAGAAACACAAGAAACACAGATCACACAAACACAGCTGAGACAGCCGCACATACGTACGCAACTTACATATCTTCAGTCACACACACTGCAGCTATCACACAGACGCAGAAGAGGAAGTGGTTGGCATCAGACTGCCAGATATGTATCTTTTTCTTTTTTATCCCTCCACTTACAGCTCAATACAGATATCTTCGACCATATGGGTTAACCCATCTTATTTAAAGCTTGCAGACTTCCTATCAAATTTCCAATCTAATTATGTCCAGAGGGTAAAGGGTTGCAAAATCACAAGCCCCACTTGTCCTAAAGTAACCTCTGGCTCCCACTCAGAGGGAGGAGTGTACTCATACTGTATGTAACAGGATAAGTGAAACCAATATGGCTGCAAGCGGCTTCCCGCATGGAATCTAGATATTGTTTTACATCAGACTTAGATTTAAAATCCTTAAAGTAACCCCCTCAGAGAAATCCACACACAAACAGGAAGTAGTACAGACAAACAGGACGTGTAATACCGCACATGTGAGTGTGACAGGATCCTCAGGTTGTGATTATATCCTGGAGCTGTATTCAGTTCATTGGCCATTAGCATACGTGTGTCTTTGTATAGCTTTCAACACACACAGCTGTTTTCCTGCATGTCAACTGTTAACTCCATTAAAGTTGTTTTTATTTGTAAACAGAAAAAATGCCTTTTGAAGTCTTTGTTCTCTGCCCTTGAACTCATAATGTTGCTGTTTTTAAGTAAGCCCATGTGGGACTAAAACACACACACGCACACAAACATGATAATGGCAGTTGGGTCTGTTCCACCCTGGGGTCAAATAATGTCAGGTCATGACTGAGCTAATAGTTTGACACGTCAGGTCATGTCCAACAAGGTCAAAGGCGCAAAGTTGACATGGCAGCGTTTGTTTTTCTTTCAAAAGATAACCCCCTGTCAGTGAAAGACAAGATAAGGCGATGTTAAGGGATCTGCATTGTGCTTCTTTTGACGTTGTCTCAAAAATCCCTCTTGGAGGATTGTGGAGAAAAGATTGTTTCCAGCTGCAGTGATTTGACAACTCCAGTTCATTCTTCAGTCTAAAAACTCCTCTTCTTTTTTGTACTTCTCCTTTCTGCCCTTATTACCAAACAGATGTACAAATTGGATGTAATGTGGCCAGTTACCAGAATTGTATTGCACATAATTGCATGATAAATGGAAACCAACACAAGACTTTAGAAATAAGAAACTACTTTGCATATTTGTTTAACTTGTATTACAATGTTTGATTTGACCAGGGGGACACTTGGGTAAGAGGAACATGGAAATTGTTTTGGGGTGAACTTTTCCCTTTTAGCAGGGTAAAGAGGTTGAGGCCGAAAGGGACATGGATCACCCTGCAACCTTTCAACTCTTCAACCTTCTGCTAGCTGGCAGTCAGTCGCTAACTCATGACATCAATGTACTGACGGAGGGGATGAGCCGAATTTAGAAAGCACACACACTCACACACCTAGAGTACAAGCACAGGACTCAAAGCTGTCCTTGCCCCTAGTGCCAGTGAAGGACATTTGGTGTATATGTAATTTTGGGGTCACTTTTTAAAATAGATGGATTTTATGTGAAATGTGGCCAGATTCAAATGCATCGAGTAATCACAGCCTTGTGTCAACACGAGTGAATGAAAAACTTGAACTAGTTAGTATATTTACCAAAATGTTTATCTTTTTTGATCCATGGTTTCTGATAAGTCTTGGCCCCCCTCTTCATTTCTGACACAGCTTGATGCCAGATTTAACAACTTTCCCCTTCGTAATCAGGGAGAGGACAAGATACTCTCCCACTCTATCTCACACACACACACACACACACACACACACACACACACACACACACACACACACACACACACACACACACACACACACACACACACACAAGCTGCTGAGGAGCTATAATTAACTGAGTCCCTGTAAAAAAAGCTTTGATGGAAACTCTG